TTTTTTTTTTGGTTTTTTTTGCAGTTTTTGGCCAGGGCTGGGTTTGAACTCGCCACCTCCAGCATATGGGGCCAGTGACCTACTCCTTTAAGCCACAGGCACCTCTCCATCAGTTAGTTTCAACACTAATCATCCACATGTGTTTAGTGGAGGCTTGCAGTATATGTGTTATTTAGCTTCATATTTATAATGTCTAGTGTATTACTAGGTTTATAATGATACTCACTCCTTAAGCCCTAGCTGAATGTTATATCATAAATGACAAGTAAATGAACATGGATCTTCATGGTACTGAGCAATTCACAACCTGCAATTCAAGAAAACTAAGTTGTTATATATCGTCAATTTTTATATCCATCATTACTTTCACTTACCATGAATACCATCGTAAGATTTATATTTATATCTTTTTGGATTCACTGAAAATTCTGTCAGATCTGCATCAGGATCTTCTCCAAAAAAATCACCGTACAGAGTGACTTCCACATTTTCCTCTGCTCGCTTCCTGGACTGACATTTTATGACAGCTACAGGAAAAAACATTTCCAGTTAATGTTACTAGTAGGTTATATGACCATTCTTGAGATAGAAGAAAATGAATTATGACATAAAAAAATAAAACTTCCTTTGGCATACTTTGGCTTAATGCATTTGGTCTTACACATACACCACACACACACATACACACACACAACACACATACACCCAAATACACTCAAGCAATATTTACATACATTGACATTTTAGAAACAAATATAAATACACAAATTCATATTTATATAATTGTAAAGAATACATAAAATTGTATTATTTAAAATTATATTAGAATGTAGAAATTTGCTTCAGGAACTGATATAGTTATACCAATAACCCAAATGACAATTGTAAACATGTGGATTCCTCCCCTTTTAAGATGTGTATATTCATTGTGGTAATACCAAGATCTATTTTTCTAATAATACCATAGAGAATGCTTTCAAATCACTTCAAAAAGGAAGTTCTGTAACACTTATTTTGCACTAGCATTTTAAAAATGTTTTCTACTAGATTGTTTTTACATACACCTTAAAATTCACATTGTAGCTATTTAAGTAAACATTTTAAAATCATTTTTGATTTTATATTTAAATTTACAAGACACCCTTTTAACAGTTAAAATATCTATGATGAATTATTTAAAATTAAGGTTAATATATGATGATATATTAACTTAATGTACAGCATTAAACATTTGTACATATAGTCATACATGTATTTAATTCCAGTATTATCTTATAACAAATGCAGGAGAAGTTGTCAATGATTTTATGAGAAATCAATGTTTTTATGTATAAGGGCCTATGTGTAGTTTAGTCCACATAAATAAGAACATTATTTATTCAAATATATTAAATGTTATACTTTCATCAAGTCAAACACACACTGAATATAGGAGAAAAGGGGAATCATAAAGAAGTCTTTCAAATGTATTATAGTATTGTGGGATCAATAATAATATAATCAAATACACTAAAAAATTAGATGTTCTCAGATTGTGTTTTCACAATACATATAAACTGATAGTATAAAATATTATAATACATTTAATTTTATTCTAAAGTTTACAACTTTTATTGAACATTCTGGACTTAGAATAAATATGTAAAATATATTAATACAATAGGGTACAAAGATATATAAATGGCTTAAAATGGCTGGGAAAAATATACAAGCTTTTTCGGTTATAACTAGTTTTAGTCTTAAAGCATTCATTTGTAAATCAGTGTGATCAAAGTTACAGTTAGCATCCCATCACTGGTCTTATCCTATGGGTCCCTAGGAAATTATTGCCCTGACAATGGGAAGATCACTCAATCACAATGGAGTCACATTCTACTGTCTTTACAGTGTGACAGGTAATGGAGTCCTTTTCCAATTACCTGCTGCAATGGACAATATTAAATAAGAATGCACAAGAAAAAAGGTGGGTCACAGGTCAATAAAAGTATCCTGAGTTTGAGAATAACCGGAATGATAGACACATAAAAAAGCCAAAAAATAATAAACTTTGACCATGATACAGTTTAGCAAAGAAAGTAGTAGGTTATATCTGGTGTGTTATTAAACAAGGAACAGAGAATGGACTTTCAACAAGCAAATTTTATGTATTTATATAATTATACCCATTGACTTTTAAAGGCATTTGTAGTTTAAAATAATTATCAGCACAGATTTTAAATTTTTGGTAAGATGAGTTAATAACATATGATCTATTTCAGAACACAAATATTATTACTGGGTTGTACTAATCTAAAATGAGCTATTTACAGAACTCACATTTATTTTCAAAATCAAGTAATTACCAAGAAAAGTGAGTTGAAGGAAAATGATCTGGAGCACATTTAACTTTCTTTGAAAAAAAAAATTAACGTTTCTATGTTCTCTTAGGCTTTGCTTTTGACTGAAAGTTTTTGCTTTAAACATTTAATCTGCAGAAAATAAAACCTTGTCTGCAGTAGATATGAGCAATGCTACTATTAGAATTCCAACAGAATAATATCTAGGCTTTATTACATTACTTTGATCAGATGACTGTGTATTATGAATTTTAAACAGTTTAGCTCTATGGAAAGTATACAATCAATTATCTTCGAGAAGGAAATAAAAGAAATATTTTGAAATATTTATGAAGCATTCAGAAGATAATTTAATGTATTTGAAATATTTATGTATGTGTTGAAAAATTTTAAATTCAAGAGTAAAAGTATTTCATGTAAAGCAAATGACATCTATCATCAAAGGTTCTATTATATGAATGAATTTTTACTCCAGTTAAAATTAAACTACATAAGGAAATATGTAGTCTTGGCCTTCTTTTTATAATCAGTATATTTGGAGAAATGCTTTATTTACTAGCAAAGCTTACTAGTTCTTTACCTAACAAATGCAATCAGTGTAACCTAATTTTTTGTACCCTCAATGAATACCAAACAAAAAAAATAAAAAACAAACTTACTAGTTTCTCTTCTAAGTGTGACACATGTCAGTGGAAGTCTAACTCCTTTTTACTTTCAAAGATTGGTATTGGAGGGATAAAGAAAAAGCAAAACTTCAAGACTTCTTTTACCTCATCTGTGTTGCTCAAGAGGGAGATCCAATATAGATAGCCCTTTGCTTTGCAGAGCAATTCAATGCTTCCTAGCTATGTAGAGCCTAGTAAGAGGCTGAAAAACTAAATTTTGCTGTATGGTTATCTAAGAGAAATTTTGTTTCTAACGCAAATCATGGAAGAAAATAGGAATATCAAGAAATCCAAAGAGAAGTGAGGAGAGTATTGGGAATGAGAATACACAGAAACTTGAGAGACGCCTGGGGGATGTGGAGAAAAATGGGGTCACTGAAAGATAAATACGTGTAAGGGCAGGGATTTTATATTGTGTGTTTCTTAACAAAGTAAACAACACTGAAACCAGTACATTCTGACTGATTTTGGAGAACAGCGGAAAGGTTTTGTGACTGAGACAAGTAAGAATAAAGGTATACCCACAGGATAGTTCTTACATGAGACTGAGAGTTATGCAGAAGCTGATATAAGATGATTAAAAGTGACCTGAGAACAAGCATACCTGGGAATCTTACACATATAGTGCAGTGCTGTGTGGGATCAAGAGGCCTGAAATTAATTGCATTTTAACCTTAACTGGTATCTGAGTTTCACCAATAGGGAGGCAACAGGAAATGGTGTAGTTTTGTGGACAGTTATCGGATTCATTGGTAAACAGGTTTATGTCTCAGCATTCCCACTCATGGGGCTGCTCAGGTTATTACGTACTTTCTATGGACCTTGAACTACAAAGATAAGGAATTAGAGGATGTCTAAGGTGCCTTAGAATTCTAGTATTCTCTGACTCCATACTTACCTTGAGGACATCTAGGAAACGGAGCCTGTGGGATGCCGAGAATAGGGTGCATCCAGTATATTGATCGGATTTCTCCAGACTCTATTCCCAGAGTTCTAATTAGAAATTAAAATAATAAGAGTGAATAAAAAAGAGAATCACTTTCCACATTAACATAAAAGATCTTATTCTTTAGTAACATCATGGTTTTTATTTTTATATTTATTTATTTATTTACTTATGTATTTTTTAGAGACAGAGTCTCACTTTATCGCCTTCTTTAGATATCATAGTGTCACACAGCTCACAGCAACCTCTAGCTCTTGGGGCTTAGGCGATCCTCTTGCCTCAGCCTCCCGAGTAGCTGGGACTACAGGCGCCCACCACAATCCCCGACTATTTTTTGTTGCAGTTTGGCTGGGGCTGGGTTCAAACCCACCACCCTTGGTATATGGGGCTGTTGCCCTACCCACTGAGCCACAGATGCCACCCAACGTCATGGGCTTTTACTAAAGCTTGTGAATATAAACTTTGGTAGAGAGAAACTGATGAAATAGAAAACTCTTTTGTGAAAATGTTGATTTGATAAGCACTTCAGAGCCGCTCCAGGGAAATTATCACAAAGAAAGCTATAACAAAAGCATCATGAAATGTATGTTAACACGGAAGAGATTTTTACCTACTTTAAAGATTGTTATTGGTGTTTATTGATGTGATTAAACCATGATTAATCAGAAGTAATACAGCCCTCACAAATTACTTTGTAAATTGGACACGCAAAGCACAAAATAAAAATTGCCATGAGGTACAGGAGTTTAGAAAATGATGAGGAATTTAATTTTAGGGCATATTATTTAAAAGAAAGGAAGCATTTGTCCAAATATTTTCCATCAAATACCAGAAAGATAGCAATATCAAAAAATGTTTCTGCTCCTTGTTGAAGATGGGATGTTCCTATTCAAATAAAAAGCAAAGTGGAGCAGACAGGACCAGTTGTGCATCTGACTTGTTCAACTGCATAAGATCCCAAGCTTACAAGGGCTTCATGCTTGTTTAATGCACTGCTGTAACTGTCCTGGACTTCTTGATATTTTTTGAAGAAGGGCCTACTCATTCTCATTTTTTGCTGGGAGTCTCAAAGTATGTAGCCAGGCTTGACTGTAAAAGTGGTGAAATGAGTGGCAGAATGGACACTAATGGGCCAATAGTAAGGAATTTTAAAAACTATTGGAAGAAATATACATACGTAGGACAAAACCAGAATTTCTTTTTAAGTAAAATTTCTAGACCAGTATTTATTTAAACTATAAGAAGAGAGAAAACATTTACATTTTGCTCCATTACTGAAGTTTCCTTAAATTTAAGCTAAGGAAGAAGGGTCCAAGTAACCTGCATTTGGCAATGACACAGTAGTCATAGTATATAGTAGTATATAGTAGTAGTATAGTAGTATATAGTAGTAGTAATAGCAGTGTTTCCTCAGGACATTGTCTCCACTTGGCAGTGTTATCACTTACTGAATGCCAACATCATACATAAGCCCTATACTTTGCCCAGACAAGTTGATTTAAGTTGTCCTCTGGATACTGATTATTTTTTGTCTTAAAAGTCACAATTTTCCCATGCCTCTGACTATTCTTTGATAATGATATTTAAGATTAAGCTTGTTTATCATGTTGAAATCCAAATAAGGATTATATACATTTAAATATAAAAACTACATATTAAAATATATAAAATATACTTTAAATATGTAAGTATATATTATATAATGTGTAGTTTATTTTATATGCATTATATATTACATATAATGTATATACCCATATAACAGATATATTTTCCTTTCCTGAGCAGAAGAATTTTAGAAGACAATATAAAATCATGGGCTTTACATGTAAAGGAAACCTATCACATCAGTCAAAAGCATTTTCCTCCAGTATCCTTATTTAAAGTTACCTTTGTGTGTCTACATCCAATTCATTAAAATTGTCAATAGGCCATTTTTTTCTGTTTGCTCTTCTCATCTGAACGATGGCAATTGTTTTGTGCAGTTTCATAATTTGAGGCATAAATAATACTGGAATTTCTACATTTCCATTGGGAGGCAATTCAAACCCTGCAAAGCACAAAGAAATATTTTAATGTAACAAATATTTATAGAATATAATTTAATGGCAGAAAGTAATTACTTAATGCTGATTATGAATTTTTGAAAATTGCTTCTGAAAAAAAAAGTTTATTATGCTGAATTATACATGTACTTCACTACTTTCCCTCAAATGTCACCAACCCTACTGAAAAAAACACATTATATCCTGAGGTAAGATATTCTTTTGAAGAGACTGGAAGGCCTGATGAAAATGATGGGTGGCGTTTCTCGAAGTGATGAAAGAAGCATACAATTCATGAGTCTTTTCAAGCCTTATTACATTTTAAACAAAGCGAGAAGGTGCAGTCATTTTTGATTCTTTAATTTCTTGTGTATTTTTTTCTAGACAATAATGGATCCAAGTCTCTGATTGGAGCCCCCAAATTGTGGCAACCTGTAAAAACTGTTCATCTATTTAGCTGATCCATGAGGAAAGTCATAGCTTATTTGTGAAAGGAAGAGGCATTTTCTCCCAGTTGGGAAAACCAGAAGACAGAAAAACTGACAGTATTTTCTTGTGGTCTGATGGATTCGAATTTTTCAACCTTTACTATGATTAAGAACCACCTGAGAAACTTAAGAGACATGGAGTTTGCTGAGCCCTATCCCTAGAGATTCTGATTGATTCAGTCTTAGTTGGAGCCCTGGAAGCTGCGTGCTTAAGTAGCACCTCATGGGATCCAAAAGCAGATGGTCCGGAGACCATACTTTGAAAATAACAAAAACAAAATAAAAATGATCTGTTGGACAAGTCTTGAGAAGACAGAGGAATAGCGAGCTTTAGGCTGCTTGAAAGAGGAAGAATTTTCAAGCAATTGAGTGTCTACCTTTACTTTGAAGAATAACACATTACTTCTTTTTCTTGTTTGTTTTTTGTTTTTTGCAGTTTTTGGCCAGGGTTGGGCTTGAACCCACCACCTCCGGCATATGGGGAGGGTGTCCTACTCCTTTGAGCTATAGGTGCTACCCAACACACTACTTCTTTAAAAGAAAAGGAAGGATTTTTGACTACACTTTTTAAAAATTCTTTGTTATGACTGATGGTAATCAAAACCGTTTTGTCTCAGATGAAACCACAGCACTAAACTATGAAGAAAACATAAAAAACAGAAATAAAAAATGGCCTTTCCACAAAACATTCCAACTGAAAATTCTTCTAAATTTTCTAATTTTTAATTGTATTCTTTGAGGAAATTAAAATGTTCAAAGGCCTACTACCATAGTTAATAATAACTAATAACTAATATGATTAATAGTTAATATTTATTGAGTACTTACTATATACTAGGCTCTGTGCTAAGTATTTTTTAATATAATATCTTATTTAATTCCCAGAAAGATAACAATATGTTAAGTGCTATTCTGTTTTTTTAAGATGGAAAAATTGAGACATTTGAGTTAAATAATTTGCCCAAAGTTCCATGGAAAGATTAGGTTGTTTAATCAGTTATCTAAACAAAGTCTGTTATCTTCTACTTTGTCTTTATGAGTTTTGTATTTTTTTTTTCTTTTGAGAGAGTTTTCAGTTTGGCACCCTCAGTAGAGTGCCAGGGCATCATAGCTCACAGCAATCACAAACTCTTGGGCTCAAATAATCCTCTTGCCTTAGCCTCCAAAGTAGATGGCACTACAGGCACCCACCCTAAAGCCTGGCTAGTTTTTCTATTTTTAGTAGAGACAGGGTTTTGCTCTTGCTCACATTGGTCTCAAACTCCTGAGTTCAGGCAATCCACCCTCCTCAGCCTCCTAGAGTGCTAGGATTACAGGTGTGAGCCAATATGCCCAGGTGAGCTCTGTATTTTTAAAAAATCATTGTAGTGAAATAGAATTAATTAAAATAAATACATTTTCTATAAAAAGTCTTCTATATTATGAAGGTCATTACATTTGCATACACAGGTCTTTATAAGAACTTATAAGATAGGTTTGAACGTCAAACCTGCTCTTCTCTTTTGTATTGATATTTTTATTGTGGTTCTCAATCATTTTTTGCACAATAAAAGAAATTTTCTATTGTCACTTCAAATCTATAAACCTCCCTTCAAGGTAATGAAATAGTAAGCTGACGACAGTATATTTTAAAGGTCGCAAGTGCAAATCTTAAGCCTGCATTTTATGGAAATTTCACTCTTCTTTTTAATTATGGTGAAATTAGAGATTAATTCATTTTATAATGTGTTTGGAAAAAACAGCCAAAGCTGAGTCAAATGAACCATGCATGCATCTTTAAGGAAATAAGTTTTAGAAATTATCAGTTGCCCTTACAAAGATTATATTATCACTAAAAATAGATTATATTACCACTAAAAATAAACCTAGACTTTTAGATAATGCAGATAGTGTAAGGAGTTAAGAGAGATGAAAAAGAGTACTTCATTACTTACACCATGCTATCTTATAATGTTTAAATCCAAAGAATAGAAAGATAATACCACGACAAATAAGCCTATTTAATCAAAAACTCTAGTACTCTTGCTTGGTGCCTGTAGCTCAATGGCTAGGGTGCCAGCCACATACACTGGACCTGGCGGGTTCAAACCCAGCCTGGGCCTACCAAACAACAATGACAACCACAACCAAAAAATAGCCGGGCATTGCTGCGGGAGCCTGTAGTCCCCAGCTACTTGGGAGGCTGAGGCAAGAGAATCGCTTAAGCCCAAGAGTTTGAGGTTGCTGTGAGCTGTGACACTACAGCACTCTACAGAGGGTGACAAGTACATTTAAAACTGCTATTTTGATTGCTCTTTTGATTAAAGGAGTTAGACATTTTTTACCCACTTTATATTATAAAATGGAAAGAAATTGCATAACATTCTGAATTTTTGTCTTTCTTAAGAAGAAAATCTTCTCAAGAAAGTAAAGTAAACATGCCTTAATTTTAGTAACAAAAGTATTTCTTCCTGGGATATTCATTTTTAATCACTTCAGTGGTATTGCGTTTCTCTTCCACAGTGCATAATTTATAATACTTAGTATGGCATTAGAAATGGTTTTTGGCAGATAATCAAAGAGACACTAAGAAATATACTAGCACCTCAAGTCATGCTATCATTTTTGTTATAGTGATTTATTTAAAATAAGAATGCAAATTTTTATTTTTAAAACACCAAGTCATCAAGAATATGACTTTCTATTAACCACTTTTATACATGAAATCTATGTATTTTCCACTTGAATATTCTATATTTTCAGTGACTAATTTTTTGAAAAAGTCTTCTTTAAGTTATGACAAAAATGGAACAGAATTGTTAATGTGGTGGTTTAAAGAAGAATCTTCTCCTTTTATTGGTTCTTCTGAGATGTAATGGGCTGAGTGCCTCCCTATAAAATATTCATGTGTTGAAACCTTATTGCCAGTATCTCAGTATGTGACTCTATTTGAAGGCTAGGTGTTGAAAAAGATGATTAAGTGACATGAAGTGGGTCCAAATCCAGTTTTACTGGTGTCCTTATAAGAGGAAATTTGGATACACAGAGACACACCAGGAGAACGTGCTCAGAGAAAAGACCATGTAAAGCCATGGCAAGAATATGACTATGTACAAGCCAAGAAAAAAGGCCTCAGAAGCAATCAAACCTGCTGACACCTTGACCTTGGACTTCTAACCTCCTTAACTGTGAGAAAATAGATCTTTGTTTAAGTCACTCAATCTGTGCTATTTTGTTATGGCAGGCCTAGCAATCAAACACATGAGATTATCTTTTCTTTTATATATTATTGCAGAGTCTGTGGCATGAGATGTCATTAAATTTGCTTACAGAGCTTTTAACTCCAGGCTCTCAAAACATAGGGAACATAGAGAAACTTGATTCATAACAGCCATTTGGCTGCTATGATGATGGAAAAAAACTAAGGATGAAACCTTCTTCCTTTCTTAACCTATGCCCCCTGGACTGAATGAGGGCATATCTTGAATAAGGAGAAGAACATTTTAAGGATTGAATTTCCTTCTGAAGGATTAGAGCCTGTTGCTGTTTAACCCTGCCCATCTTTTGCAGAGCTATCTAATGTTTGAGTTTTAAAAAGCTGTCCAAAGAAGACACAATCAAAGGGATTAGAGCAGAAAAAATAGGTATTAAATGAAAGATCACATTACTCATATAGGCAACTGGGAAAAAAAAAAACAAAAACAAACACAAATCCATGCCTTTCAGAAAAATGTTTGAGACATAACATAATGCTTTTAAAGTAGGATTTGGGGTTATTCAGTACACATATGATTCCTAAGGTAAATTTTATACCTTGAACTGAGCACCTGTAAGTTAAAATTTTATGCTGTCATTTAAGATTAAAACTAAAATTATGCTTGACTCAAGTATTGCTTTTACTGTAAACATTTCATTACTGGTTCAAATGAGTAAAAAATCCATTGTCAGAGAATGCTGATAAGATACACAGTGCAGGAGAGAGTTTTCTATCATTGAAGACTGTCAGGCGCATGTTGCAAAACCACTTGACTGCATAACATGGATAAGTGTAAAGGGTTTCTGTCTTTACATGAGTGTCTGGATGCTCCTTCCAGCCCTACTATTTTCTGATAGTATTTTTCCTTATTTATTAAAAAGACAACTATTCTTTTTTTTTTTTTTTT